TATATACAAGTTATATTACACACACACACACACACACACACACACACACACACACACACACTGTCCAGCACAGCAAACATTATGAAGCATGCTGGAAAGGCAGGTGCCAGGTCTTCTGACAGGGGAGGGAGGGGGCTAGAGGGGGTAGGGGAAGAGCTGCAAATCTGCCCCCCCACAAACATAGACACACCCTCTTTCCTGGTAGCGATGAGTCTTCTGCTGCCAGTGGGAGCAAGGAGGTGGGAGAAGTACCTGATCCTGTACCATCTCCACTAACACCAGAAATAGCCACCAGCACCATTATGACAGTCTCCTCCATTCCAATTTCATGCTCCCAGTTCCAGAGGAGGAGCTGGATCTGGAAACAGGGGAGCTGAGTGCCATAGCCAGGGAAATTCTTGGGAAGGAGGGGGAATCTGAGTTTGTGCTCCACATCCCTCAGAGTTTCTCTGGAAGCAAGTCTCCTTCTCCAGAAGGCACCTTGGAGAAAGGTGTGGGGACAGGTGGCTCAGCTTCCCCTGTTGTTGTGTTTCTGCCTGGTGAGGAGGGGGATAAGGCAGGATCCCCACCCTCAACACAGAAGTGGGGGAGGGGGGATAGTGTAGTATAGGATCATTTTGAGTTGGCAGATGATCCCAGGTATGCTGCCTGCCAGCATTGCTAAAGGCAGATCAGCCAGGGCAAGGAGATTCAGTCATTGTGGTCCAGTACAGTCCATTTGCTGGCAGGCATGTGCAACCCGAAGGTGAAGGGAAGGCAATCTGCAACCAGATGTGGCAGGATCTGGCTGTGGTTGCCCGGGAACACTTGTCCTGTCCACTGACAAGTGTTCCAAGTGAGAGGGTGTTCAGCATTGCTGGGGATGTTGTGACACCCCACCTCACCTCCTTGGATCCTGGTTTGGTGGAGCAGTTGGTGTTCCTGAAAGTGAACCTCCCACTGCTGGGGTTCCCCAAGCTCCACATGCAGACAAAGTGAGTGCCACCCTCCTTACTGTGTACCTATTTCCTTTCTTTAGTTGCTTTCACAACCATTTAATGCCCCACTCTCAGAGCTGGAGGTGGCACTCATTGCATCACCATCCAGCAGAGGAAAAACATCGCCCTGCTGAGCTCCTGTGCCAAGACAAACTTGGACTGGGGCTATAGGGAAGGAGGAGGCCCCAGGTCCTAGGCACGACCTAAAACTG